TTATTGTTGCTTTTAAACAATAAGCAGCAGCTTATTGTTTAAAAGCATTACTGCAGTGAGCGTCACGCATCTGAAGCAGCAGCATAAAAAGCAACTTTGTTCATTTTAATGTATAACTGCATCAGCCTTTCCATTCATCCATTTTCTTTACCCATTTATCCTTGTGCAGCAGTCTTTTTGGAAGATGCAGGGTACACCTTGGACAAGCTGCCAGTCCATCACAGGGCAACACAGGCACACAGGATAAGCAACCAAGGATGCATCCACTTATACCTAAGTAGAATTTGGAGAGCTCAATTGACCTGCCATGTTTTTGGACTGCGGGGAAAAAAAAGATGGAGTATCCAGACAAAACCCAAAGAGAACATGCAAACTCCATACAGAAAGACCCCAGGACAGAATTTGGACCTTCTTGCTGCAAGGCAAAAGTGCTACCAACTGTGTTTTATAGATAGACAGTAAAATTGTAGCAATATGTGTGAAGAGTGTAAAGAGAAACATATTACAGAAATTTAGCACAAAGAACATTTGTTGCACAAGCAGATTTTTTTCTTTGTGAAATTTTGTCAAATTGTTTCAAGTCTAGCTGACCTTTAATACTGAGAAGTTGAAGTAAAGCAAAACCTAGAGGGGTGGGGGGCAGTTATACAGCCATCCATAGAGTAGCAGTTGGCAGAAAGAGTCTTTGATATGATCATACGATCACTCTACTTTGGTAGATCATCAAAAGCCTGTTCTAGCATGGTCATCTACAGCTAAAGTGTTACCTCATCTAAAGTGTGAAGAACCTAAAATTAAACAGCATCACATTTTGTTCAAAAAAGATATCTACATCAGTATTCCAACTAAACTAATCTCCCACCATTCAATCTTTAAATGTGTAATATTGAATTATAATTTCAGTCCTGATCTTCAAAATATCTACAAATGAAACACAGGACAAACAAAATGGCCGAGTCTTGTTTGAAATAGAGCAGCTGTGAACATAATTCACATGAGTCCTCCTCCTCTCGTCGTGTTCAGGTACAGTATGCTGTCTCGTCAAACATACTTGGTAAGAAATGGTGCACTGCAACAATTTCTAGCCGCATATGATGAATGAAAAATGTGTCCATTTATAAACACATTCCTGTCATGCTTGATTTCTTCATTCAAGGATCATTTGTTAATATCAAATGAAGCTCGTATGTGCTTGTTGTACCAGATGAAGTTTTCTATGCTGATGTTTATGCAATTTAAACCAAAAGTCTCAAAGTGTTAGTCATTCCCCTCCATGCTTTGGCCAGTCAGTCTCAGCTTCACAGGCTTTTTCATCTCAGTTCAAGTGTTATCTCATTCAGTTGAATGAACAAAAAAAAGATATTCTGCCTTACGTTTAGATCGATCTTGGAAATGATTCATCAGTCACAAGGTAATTACACCATTCAGTCGAGAATCTGCACTGTTAATAGAGGAGACAGTTGGTGTGCAAACAGCAGTAAAAAAGGCAAATAGGAGAATTAAGAAGCATGAAAGAGTCAGATAAGGTTCAAAACACACCAATTTTAACAATAACACCAAAAACTGGACAATTATGGCATATTTTTCCTTTTATCAACAACCCCACAGTCGGTAAAGGAAAGAGCCTCCATATTGCAAAGCTGAGCAGCGACAGTCAGACCTTTAGAAAATACAAAGCACCTTGTACTCAACAGAAAAGAATCAAACAAACAGTGCCTTGCAAAAGTTTTCATACTGAACTTTTTTACAGTTTTCACACACTTCACTGTATTTGATAGAGTTTCATGTGGCAACACAAACAATGGGAAAAGGAAGAAAGACACATCAGATTCATCCCCAAGAGGAAGTGCGGTGGTGGCAGGATCATGCTGTGGGATGCTTTTCTTCAGCAGAGTCGAGGAAGCTGCACAAGGTTGATAGAGGGATGTGTGATGCTAAATACAAAATGCTAAAGCCTTTTTGTATTCCTTTTCACAATTCATGCACTATTTGGAGTTTCTCCGTCACATTAAATCTCTAATGTGTCTATTAGAAGAGGTGAAATGGGTAAAGAGTCCCAAACAACCTTCAAGGTTAGGGTGTGGCCTGATAAAAAATTTTTTAAAAAAGAGTGAATCACAGCTGCCCTTTCATCTGATTTCCAAGAAGAGAAGGCAGGACAAAAGGGGGAGAAAAGCCTCGACACCTGCCAGCGGTGATTATTAATGGCTAACAGGAAGGCAATGGCTTTGGCAGCGAGGCTCAGAAACTGAACTCCAAACAGCATGTAAATATTTGTTGACAGCCCATCGCACACACCGTTCCGTCGTGAAGCGTTGCTGTTCCATTCAGCTCTTTTAATTACCTATACGTGTGATTCAATCCGTCATATGTCTCAGCCCATTCCTCTTAATGACATGCTCCACTCACTTCTTCTCCTTTCCTCTTCAGCTGTGCACACAGTGCCTGCACTCAGAAGCCTTTCTAATGAAAACAAAGAACGGGCCCTGTCTTAAAGATAAAAATATCAAGTGGATCTCAGTCTAAAGTTGTTGAGCAGTGCGTCGCATTGTTGAAGCATCCCAGAGTGTAAATGTTATCGGCGGTAATGCTTTTTTCCCCATTGCTTTATCTCCCCTGAAGAGGTAAATTTTTGCCTGTGGATGTGTGCAACAGAAACAGGCCCCCAGTTCATATCAGCTTTCAGGGTAAAGAGTCAGCATAGAGCTAATAGAACAAATACCAGACGAAATTCAGGGAACAGAGCCGAATGTGAGCATGAATTTGAATGACTGTGAAAAAGTTTGTCCCGGATTCCCATGTCTATTTCCAACCAGTGTGCCTTTCCACCTCCATGGCTGATTTGAATTTTGAAAAGATTTTTATCCGGCTGAAACACTAGGGCCACAGATGACTGCAGGAAAAGGCTGAAATAACACAGTTTAATCAATAACATAAAATGAAATGAATAAAAAGAAGGAGTCTCCTCTATCTGCAACCCCAGAAGCCCAGAGGCAGCGGCTTAACCCACAGCCGGCCCAAAACATACGCAAATTAACCCTGTAGGGCTTCAAGGGGCCCCAAATTGAGAAGTTGGTAAACTTCTCAATTTACCAATGAGCTTTGAATCATTTCCACCATGTTAGTCATAGTTTTAAAATTATGTGATCATTTAATTTCACTGGTTTGTCATTCGTTATCGTCAGCCTTATTTCAGACAGCTGGCCACCAGTGCACAGCAACGTTGGGGAAATGCTATGAGGCATTTCTTGAACTTAATAAAAGCAGCTCTATTCACTCTGGAACTTTCTCTGAAATCCTCTTAAATGACTGTAAATCCACAAATATGCAAATAATTAAGGCTTGGAGAATTTATATAGTTAATGCTGTGGCACTCAATGCCAAATATAACTAGCAAGCTACATCTTAAAATTTCTGTATTTAAGAAATTCATAGTTGATTGCACAGTTAAAACCATTTAAGCTGTCACAATAGTCCCAAAAGAAATTCTGCTGAGGGCTCATTACTGTCACAAATTTTGATATGGGTGATTTGGTTACTGCTCAGGGTAGCATGTTATTAGGGGTGGCATGAGGTTGCAAATAATTACATAAAATAGTCAGCAAGTCATGATTGTATGATGCTTTCCAATGTAATAATTAAGTATCACTTTTGGGGGCCTGCATTTGATCTTCTCTGATTGAAAATATAAAATTCTTTGGCTTGTCAAACTTGATCTGGACTTTCTACAAAGACTGAAGAGCCTTTGAAATTAGTCTAAACACAAAAATGGTCTTCTTGATTTTTGTTGTTGCTGTTAAGAATTAATTTACCCAAACATTGAAAGTACAATATTTCTTAAACCAAAATTGCAATTTAGACTATCATTACAAAATTCTGATCAGTTTTCTTAAAATTATTGATAAACTCCTGTCTTGATTTTCCTCAATCCCAATAATCCACTGGGTTAAGCTTAGCTAAATGTACAATCAATATTGTATAAAACTTTTGAATAATAATAATATTAGTAGGCAATATTTATCATTCTATCCAAAACGTCACCATCATCTTTTATGTTAGCCTACCTGTGATATCAGACAGATCGGCTTTTGTTTGTTTGTTTTTTGTCCCTATTGGTTCAATCCTTCAGTAATAATAAAAGCTATTGGTTTTTGCCAAATGGAGTTGGTGGGTGCATGAAGTAGGGGCTCGCCCAGGGCGTAATAAATGCTGGAACCTGCACTGGTTCCATATCATCTTGCCCCGGCTCTGTGCTCACCTTGGAGGGGGGGGGAGAAGAAAGAAATCTGAAGCTTTGAGAATCGATGGGAACAAGTTCTCCATAGAGAAAGAAGGATTTTGGTTTATGTAATCAATGATGATTCCTGTGCAACAACCCACACTGGGATGTCAAACTTTTTATGGAGTCACTGAATCAACTATGAAACCTGATTCCAGAATGGAAAGTCTGCAGGTTTTCAGTCTATGAAGGAACTGATTTGGCATGTGGGGGGATTTGGGAGACTCGCAAATATTGACTCACATCTTCTTCGCACTTTATACCTCTCTTCTCCCCTCCCTTTCCTCTCTCTCAGTTAGTTGAGTTTTCGTCCACACAATCAAATATTTCAATCTACCTGGGAATTTGATTGGGGTTGGGTCACATAGATGCCAAAGGACCGTGTTGTTTAGCAGAAATTCACCGCACTCTGGCGAGTGCCTTTCTAAATACATAACATTTTTGAGTGACTCTGTCAAAAAAAATACCGGATTCAGTTTACAATAATGTGTAAGTTGTTTTTTTTTCCACAGTGATATGATCAAACTCCTAAGTCACCACGGGACAAAAGCCGCAAATAGACGCAGGAACGCTGTGCTCCAAAGTTGTCATCTTTCACCAGAGCCGCTCCGCTTCTGCTCTCAGCAGACTTTCACACGCATGTTTGGGGCAGGAAAAAAAAGAAAGAAAAGAAAAACTTCCCAGCTTCGCTGTATGAGACTAATATCTACGTCAGTCTTACCTGTTGGCCCCTCGATGCCATCGGCGTAGATCTGGACACTTAAAATCAGCAGAAAGGCGCAGGTGTTCATCGTGTGCATGTTTTAGTCCACTTTGCATGTGACGAACAAGTCATTTCATTCCCTCCGCGGGGTCCAGGAAGGCGGCAGCAGGCAAAGCGGAGTCCATCTATTTCCCTCAGTTTTGTTTTTTAACTGAGTGGAGTTTCCGAGACACTGGAGGGAGACAGGGCAGAGCTACTTCTGCAAACTGACGTCAGGGTAAACAGTTCAGGAGAGAAATTTTCTTTTCCCGAGCCCACTTTCCCTCCCCAGCCTTCAGCTTTTCCACTCCAAGCATGAGCCGGGCGCCTCCAAGTGGTCAAACGTAGGAACGGCACCCAGGCATTCTGACATCGGCCAAGCAGCAACTCGACACCGAGTGCGACAGTGTGCTCAACATCCCACGTTATCTGTCTCATCTGTGGGAAATGAAAGATCTTTGGCTGCTTTTGGGAACATAGATTTTTTTTATATACAACGTCCTTTACTTGGTTGACGTTTATTTTAGTAGCAGTTTGATTTGATATAAAAATTCAAAAGTTTTCATACCCTTTGATTTTCTTTTTGTTTCTTTCACATCTTCAAGTTACAACCACAAATTTCAACGTATTTTGTTGGGATTTTATGTGATAGACTTGCATAATTGTGCAGTGGAAAGAAAAGCATTTTTGCAAATAAAAATCTGAAAACTGAACTGAGTTTAGTTTCAGCTAATATAAACCAACAGTTTGTAGGACCACCTAACATTGTAAATACAAGTTATCAAAGGTGTGTCTACCAACTGAGTGTATCTACAAACCGATGAGGTGTTTCTGCCTTTTCCTCTGCAAAATAGCTCAGGCTCGGGCAAAGTAAATGGAAATCATTCTTAGATATCAAGTTTCAAACCTTGAAACATTCTGAGTTGGTTGAAGGTCTGGACTTTGGTTTTCAGAAGTGTGGCCCAATTGTGGTTATGAATCAAAAATCAGATCTTGAGATCTTGATTGGAAATTACTCTGATTAAATACAAATAACATTATCAAAACATTTTAATTGTATAAATTTTAGAAGATATGATGAAACTCAGCTCTTAAAAAAGTAAATTAGGCTTTGACACCATTAGTCTCATCATTGCACTGTTTTTGCACTGTTTAATTTAGACTCTTCGCAGAAATGCTTGAGCGTCTGTGTTTTTCCTCTCTTTTTTTGCCACAAGTAGTAGTTTGCATGAAAGGAAATATTTACATTTTGGTCTCATCTAAACATAGAAACTTCTTGCAATTTCTCTTTAAAGGGCAGCATTGTTTAGTGCATAAAAAATAAATGTCCTGTCAACATGTCACATCATCTGAGCTGTGCATATGTGCAGTTGCTGTGCCAGAGTAACAGATCCCTTGATCTAACCTGATCACAATGCTCTTTGTTCAATAATATTGTCTAACACACCACTGACACCACACTGAGCTATTTATACTTAGATCAAATGACACACAGCTGTCTGGAGGCAATTGGAAGCATTGTATTTTATTTAAGAGTAACAGAGTAAAGTGGCCTCAGTGCAAATACATGCCACATCTTTCAGATTTTTATTTGTGAACCCTTAAAATAAAATTGTGTCCTTTTTCTTCCACTTCTCAGTTGGTGCAGTACTCTGTGTTGGTCTACCACAAAAAATCCTAATGAGATAGTGATGTGACAATACGTAGAAAACCTCAACAAGGTCTGAATACTTTTGCAAGGCAGCATAGTTTGAAGATCCAACATTTGGGATAAATTCAGACAGTGTAAAATGGTGCTGGTTGCTGAAACATGAGTCAGCAGTGGCAACAGGTCCATGTTCTTGTTATTTCAGACAGCAACATACCAGTCAACAACATTTGCAGTGCTACCTAAAATGTCACCCTGTCATAATTATTTTCAAGTAGGCACCGTTCCCATAGAAATTACAATGATTTTGAAATTACATGCTTTTGTTTGGGGGAGTTTTTCCTCCCTTTGTTGCACTGATTTAATAATATCAAGCTGAAAAGTGACAGATTAATTTTTATTTGCTGGATTCTTTTTCCAGCGATGCCAGTAAAGTAACACCAGAATGGGCAGTAAAAACACGCCCCGTCTTGTCATTTTGTTCATGCTGCACCCCAAATCGTATAATGATAGCAAAACCCATGCTGTCTATTGCAGGATTGTGACACCCAGACTCTAGGTGACATTTATAAGCACAAATATTAACAAATGGCTGACACTGACCTATTTTGTACAATACCTCTGAATGTCAGTCTTTATAATAACCTTATTATAATATAGCTGATGATGTGTTTACCTTGACAGAGCTAGTTAAATAATGCTATGCATTCTTGTGTCTAAAAATTGTATCAGAGATCCATATATATAAAAATATTCTGCACTGAAAAGATTTGGTTTCCATTTTTCTTCTTTTTATTTTGTTTACAGCCAAGATAAGTCCTATATCCTCTCAGTTATGACAGGTACACATGCTTTTGCACCTTCCAATGACAGCTGCAAGGCATATTTCTCCATAAATTAGGAAGTTTGACATGTTGTGTGTATTAAATTTGCATTTGATGGGGTTACTTTTCTCCATCTCTAGCAACAGCTGGTTACGTTATTATGTCCTTGAAATGGGGGACTGGAGAAATCACTTTTGGATTTAATGAAATGTGCATAAAGCAAATGCAAACATATGGCACAGATGTAATAATTATTTTTGAGTAAGTGGTCTGACACGTCTTTGCCAGTCCATCTGATGTGTCCATAGACTTGTTATGCAAGTTGTTCATAAGAACGGGCAACGTTCTCATGATGCAAATGTAGCAAATGCAGTTGTTTTTTGGGGGAGGGAGTTTGCATTCCACACTTTGTTTTATCGATCCAATGTTTGTAGGAAGTTCCTGCTAAGTTTTTTTAGTTTTTCTTTTTTTCACTTTTTCTTTGTATCCTATTAGGTTTCAAGTTCAAAGTGAGCTCTCCACTCTGAATGACCTTTTCAGCAGAGTAAATTTTCACAGTTGTGTTAAGATTTTACAGTAAAGTAAACTGAGAGGCAGCTAAATGGAAGCTACTACCCTGCTAACTATTGATAAAAATTTAAACTCTCGTGGTCTGAGTCTGTATTTATTTCACATTCCCCTTCAGAAAATGATCCTAAATTCTGATTGTGTAAATAAAAAGAAAGAGGTATACAAATGAACTTGACTGAGGGAAAAAATGATTGTCCCTAAAACCTAATTGGTGCCACAGTAGTGAGGAAGCAACTGTAACCAAGCATTTCAAATAACCAGGAATGAGTGTTTTCATAGTGCAGATGGTTTTTTTGTTTGTTTGTTTGTTTTTTGGCAAACAAGGAAAGAGCTTTTGTGTCCATTTTGCTTTGGACCTCTCACATGGAAGATGAATCATAAAACCCATTTTGGCTGCTGCAAGGAAGGCCTGCAGCACTTTTTGTTGTAAACCTCATTTAGAACAAAAGAGCTGTTTTCTGATCTGAAACACTTAGGTGTGACAAGAAATCAAAACGAGGGGGAAGCACTTCGTATTAACATCCAGCACAAAGGTTGATGTTGAAGCAGGCCCTCTTTGGGATAACACATTTAGCTGTGACTCAGAACTAAAGTGGTTATGCATCTTTCAATTTAGATGTTATGTGTGGACATTACAGCTGAATATTAAATTAAAGGTGGCAGAATAATTGTGTTTGCTTTTTCCAAAAGATGTTTGTCACATGAGTCTAATATTATTAGTCCAAAATGGTGAATAAACAATCCATTGCACTGCAGATAATTTAGTTAATTGTATAGAGACTAACATATGTCAAGGTGAAACGTGAAATTCCACCTGCTTGATATACGACAGACATGTATTTAAAGCATAATTATTGAAACAAAGGAAGTATTTTGATTGGGGTGTGTTTCGCTGCAATGCATTTCAATGTGCAGTAATGTGATGTTGCAAAACACTGGTGAATTCAAACAGCAGGACAGGTGTCAGCAGAGATGCTGAGAGCTATGGAGTGATGATAGTCATTTTATCAGACGTTTTATCGACTGCCACTCATAACCCCAGACAAACACCTACATCTGGACAGGCTGTGCCGTGCGCCAATGTGTAATAACATATCATCACAGTTCTAAGAGAAGTTGTCAAAGGCAACACCATCACTGTCTATCTCAGCCTTGGCATGCAGAGCGGTGCTGAACACAAACAGGAAATCATACCAGGAAAAATGGATGGATGATTATTTCTACAAAAAGGGCGCCTTGACAAAAGAAAGTGGCGTCTGTGATCGTCGGGTTAGTGGAAGCAAATATGGTTAGAAGAAAACATGAGTTACGCTCTCTGAAGGTTCGTTCACTTTTCGGCTGTTGAGTCACACATTAGCTTGTTTTAGGAAGGGGAACTGTGGCATTCAAATCAGGGAGAAGTGCAAGTGAAGTGAAAGTTTTTAAATTAAAGCGAGCTATAAACCACTAATCAAATTGACCCATATGAAAAACAGCCCTGGGCAGAGTGTGTTTTGTGAGTAAACTTATTTAAGGGCTGATCAACTATCAAGAAATAATAAATTATTAAAAAAACTTAACTTTAATGTGTCCTTTATTGTTTAACAGGAAAAAACAAATCTAATTCATTTAGTATAGAGTAAACTACTTAAGTTGCTAACAAAACTATCTCGTTCATTTAAAGGAGGGTAACAAAGACCTCAACTCGAGAACTCAGCTGCAAATTTTACATGCATCCTTTCTCCAACAAAGTCAAATGAATGGACTCGATACCAGACCTCTGAAAAACTGAATGACTGAACAATGATGAGGGAATTCAGACATTTGATTCATCTGTGTTTAAGAAGAGATTCATCCAAATGATGGAGGATCAAGGACTGGACTTAAGCAACTCTGATTTAAAGTGTAAATCATTTGTAAAATATTCATTTAATATTTGCATAGTTGCATCAATTACAGATTCACTTTAATTTGTACATCAGCACATTCTACCACTGCTCTAGTCAATTTAATTTATATTTTTAACTTGGTGAGTGGATAAACCAATTCAATAGCAATTTAACCAGTTCAATTATTATTTCTCTCTGCATATTATGTGCAATGAAGTAAAAATAAATAATAAAACCTGTTTTTACAATATAATTTACAATATGAATCAAGATATTCCACATTTAAATCTTGGCCACATTTAAAACATATCTAAGAATGTTTACTTACTAGTTTGTTTTGTAAATTTAAACAACAAACTTGACCTGCAATAAATATGTCCTCTAATTCAAATTGACCAAATATTTACAGCAAGATTAATTATGAAATATATATTAATTACTCATATTAAAAAACTATACATTTCTAAAAAAAATTATATATATATATATATATATATATATATATATATATATATATATATATAATACAGAAATCTTGTAAAAATTTCTGTCAAGAGTTTGAGATGTCCTCTAAAACAGAACCTTTAAGTTCAAGATCATTCGCAAAGTGTTCTGTCTCGACTGCCAATATTTGATTTATGAGGTAAGAATAGGGAGCAGTGTTGGCATTACAAGAGATAGGTTCTTATTTTAGCAGCTTTAGAGCCTTAGTTAACCTTTTCTAGTAAAAAGGGAAATGATATACTCACTCATCATGCACACACATCTTCTTTCATTCTTAACAATGAACAGCCACTGGGATTAATAAAATGAATGTATTCATTCAATCATTGTTTAATATCCTCAAATGTTAAAATGTTTATTTTCTCTCCTTTTTATCTTTCTTCTCAAGAAGCTACCCCTGACTTTCTGTTTTTGTTTTGAGAACACGTCCCAGACCAGGACAAAAACATTAAAGACGTTTCTGCTGTATTTAATTTTGTGTCTATGTAAATTTGGTGGATTTACATGTATTTCTGTCCTTGGAAAGTACTGCTGGTTAGGTGCTTCTGTGTCTGTCTCCCTATTGTCCCCCACTGATGCTTTATGCATGCCTTCCTTAACCTTTTACCGATAGGTCTCAAATGACTAACTGAATTTGACTGTAATTATAATTTGGATTAAATTAGAAGGTATGTAGATCAGGAACTGACTTGAGATGATTCTTGATATCTTTTTTAGATGACTGGAAATGAATTGGACGGCTTAATTTTCCTGTAAAGTCACTTGAGATGCCATTTGTTGCGAAATTATATTACAAAAAAGGTATAGAATTAAAAAGCAAAATGGTCTTTTAAGTTCTGTGTACTGTGTGTTTTAGCATTATAAAAGTGAAAAATAAAAAATATAGATATTAACAATGTACATTACAGGCCAACCAGTCAATAAAGTGTTTAATTATTATTTTTTCTTTGATTGAATTTTTCTTATAAAGTGCCTAAAACCAACGCTTATTGTAAACATCACAATTTGTCTGGTGTGTCTGTGGCTCTGCTTATGTAGTTGTAACAACAAAACAAAAACATTTATACAGTCAATGGCTACATTGTGGTACTATTAAGGTACCACAATGTAGCCATTAATAAGACACTAATTCATAAATCCACCATACATCTAATGGTTCTAAAAACCCAATCCAATAGACCTTCACAATCAGGAAGGTTTGTTCCACAACACATTAGTGGATGTGGAGTCTCTACTGCAAGTTTTCATTTAATTTCCTGCATTTTCCTCTCAGTTTGAGCCACAGAAATCTACTTAACGTTCTCGGTGCCATGTGAGCTTTTTGTCTTCCTCGCCTCATCACATCTGATCGGACCATCTCCAGGAAGAAGTACCGTCTTCTGTTTCATCTCTTTGTTCTTTCCTGAGGTATCTTTTTTCTCGTTGCCACTTTGGCCCACTCCGTCTGTCCTGCCGGCTCCAACAAGGTGACTCCAGCCAGCGGGGGCAGAGAAATGGCTGAAGACCTGAGCATGAGATGCAGCCGATAAACCAGTGAAAGAAAGCGGTCGGATCACCGTGTTTGTCCTTTCATTCTGCAGCAGGTTGTGCCCACATCTTTTCTGCTGGCTCTGACGATGAGGTCGAAGGTGTTTCAAGGATGAGGTCTTGTAAGATTTTCTTTGATTGCAGCTCTGCTTCCTGCGTTCCTCCGAGATCTCATCCAGCACTAGACAAAACAAGATAACAGTTAGTAAAGTCCACCGGGAGCATCAACGTGTGGACCACGTATTGGTTCTGGCAGCGTTCTCAACATACACACCGTGATGGATTTTACTCTCCTGGTTCTGAGTGCACCTAAGGTCCAGGGCTTGTTTCACATAGTCCAAATGTCCAAATATCTCGCATAGAGAATTCAGTATAAGAGCATCTGACCCAAAAAAAAAGTAAGAAAAAAAGTGTTGAATAACAATCTTTATTCAATCGTACATAAGCAATTCAGATGATAAAAAAAAATCTAACTTTATTAGTTTATTTTTCCCAGATACTTGGCATTCACCTTGTTTCAAGCCTTTACGGAACCAGGTGCACCATAATTACAGCTGCAAGTCCTTTGGGGTTTAGATTGAGATTCATTTTTGTCAGTCAGCTCAAGCTCAATCAGTTTTCGATAAAGAAGATTAATTTATAATTATCATTTTGGGGTTTTTTTAACCAAAGTTTCTTCTTTCACATGATTGCTGTGTTTCTTGTACTGCAAAAAACCAAACTTCTGATAGCAGTTTTCTTCCAGATTGGTGGAGTTTACGCCTCAGAGTTGCTATTGATATAAATTTCCTTCTGAGATGTAAATCAATGCAGCTCCTAATTTTTAATAAAAACCTTCACAGTACATCTGGTTTTATAGTGTATATAAATTGCACATAGGTCAGCTGTATTTCATAGCTTTGATAGCTCTTGATTTTATTTTGAAGTATAAGGGGTTAAATACAAATGCATGCCAGACTTTCCAGATTCTCATTTATAAAGTATTTAAAAAGCACGGATAATTTTCCTTACACTTTATAATTTTGCACTACATTGTGCTGGTCTGCCACATAAAATCCCAATTAAATAAACAGAATCTTGAAATTGCAATGTGGGGAAAAAGCAAAAAGTCCAAGTGGTCTGAATACTTCTGCAAGGCACTATGTGTGAATGTGATGACACAGTTTGGGAGAGTACCTGACTCCTGCAGGCTGCCATTCTCGCTGCGAAGCTCGACACCTTTAAGGGTGTTCACAAGTCTGGCATGGAGACCAGACAGAACATCCACCATCAGCCCAGACTCTGCTACACCCCTCCAAAGTCTCATCACTCCACCTGAAGAGGATCGATTACATGATAAGAACTCTGCATATGAGAGTTTGCTTTTTCCCTTCCATTAAGAGGTTTAAAAATGGCCACAGAGAAATTAGAGAAAGCCATAAATGCACCAGTATAGATTTGATGGATATGAAGATATGAATTCCAGTGTGGGATGCTAAATAAAATAAAAAGTAAAGAAATGCAGTAAAGATTAATAAGTAATCTGTGACAAATGTGGTGGAAAGGAGAAGCAAGGAGACATCTGGGGCTGAGATTTCAAGTAAAAAACATAGGAAATGACAGAACTAGATGCCATAGATGGATAAAAAACCATTTAAAAAGGAGTGAAAGGGAGAAAGTGTTAAATAGGAAACAGATGTTGAGAGGAAAGAGCAGGAAAATGGGTTAGGAAAGAGGAGCTCTCTGAAGGCAGAAAGGAGGGCAGGACAGATTTGAAGGAGAATGAAATATAACTTGACGTCGGCACAAAACTGATAAAAACAGAAGTTAGGTTAGGGTGATGAAGTGCAGAGCATGCTAGATGTGTTATCTTAGAGGAAATGAATGTATGCCCCCTGATGTTTGCTTACACTCCTGTCACAATGGTAAAATATTTGAAAGTGTTCCAGTTCCCATTTACATTTATAAGTTTGTTTAATTTATTCCTCCATGAGGGGAATACAAACTAGAATGAAGCACATTTCCGTAGAGCTGAACAGCTCCAGCTCAAGAGATTGAGCACGCTCGCTGAGAATTATCTACTTGTTAGAAACTCAGCGACAAGCAATCCTGAACGTGCAGCGAGGCGCTTCAATCTGCTTTTCAGGGCATCATCAGCGGGCCGTTTTACTGACTGAGCTCCTCCTGGAACAGTGCCTGATCAGGTCACCTTTAAAAGCCTTTAAATCAAAGCTGCAGCCCCGGCAAGTAAAAAGGCCACACCTGGAAATGTCAGCTGCTGTCTGCGGTTTTATAAATGGACGCGACTCTTCCCCCTGACTGTGGTCAGCAACTTTTTAAGGACAAGTCGACAGGAGCATCCCGCAACTGCCGATTCAGAGGTTCACCAGCTCGCTGTGTCAGAGAGGTCAAACCTTTCGTGGTTGCGAGAGGCGAGACGAGAGCGATGGGTGGACAAACCCTGTGTAAATCTTTTTGAGAACCTGTCCTACAAAAGACCTCTTCTCTTGAGAAAAGATCCTTCCTGCACATTATTAACATCTGGCAGATAATTTTTTTCCCCTTCTTTTTTTTTTGGAGATAAGGTGATTAAACCTTCTTCTCTGCAGAAAATACAGCACCGTTCTCAATTAGCAGATCTTGATTTTATTTTATTTTTTTTTTGGCTGGGATTTATATTCTTCTTAGTTAGATGTGGTTTTGGACCTGAGATTTTATTCAATTAACTAGTAATTAATTGAATAGAATAATATTTTTCAATTGAAGTGTGTTGATTGTTGACAACTTTTAGTTTTAGTACAAGCAATATTTTAATTCTATATCAAAGAATCAAAGAATCTTTGGTGGAGAAACTGAACTTAGGTTTCCAAAAAAATATGGTTAATCACATATTAATTAATGACATAAAGATGGGGATTACTTCTGACATCTCAATGTTAGTGTACTCAATCAAATGGTTGGATTTTTCTCATTTTGTCAGTGTGAAATCATTACTAGGACTGTAAAAAATTATACATTTTTCAATATTTTAGCAGTACAAATTGTGATCATATGTGATCAGAACATGCGACATGATGGAGGATAAGAGGTCAAAACCAGGTGACTAATTGAACATATACATTGAATTGATAGACATTATTTTGTATTTTATTTACCAAGTGAATCGGCTCTCTTTATGTTGGCAGGATGTCCGTTGATTGTAGAGTTTACAAGTGGTGTTGAACCAATACTCTGCTCTGATGCCGGTCCAATCATTTCCTCCAAAGACTCCTCCAACTCCACTGCATCGCCAACTTCCCCGTAAATAGCAACAAAGCAGGCATATTTAGTTAATAATGGGCTAAAGCTGTTAGTTTGTGTAAAATTAGCTTCAAATTCTAAATATTCATCATATTTCGGTGCTTGGCTTCAAAGTGATCTTCAATTTCTTGGTTTGAAATTTCAAAACCGCAACAGTGGTTTAAACATATGCGATTGGTATAAAAACAGGAAACTTTAAGTGCCAACTGTAATCTACCTGTCACTGTAGGCAGCTGTCCCCCAACAGGCTCGAGAGCCAAACACGACAGGCTTGGCTGCACCAAGGCCCCTGGAGGAAGCCGGGTGCTGTTCATCAGCACATCGAGCTTGGTGCTGCGGCAGGTGTTGCTGCACACTGACTCATGCTGGTAGAAATCAATCTGGCCAGAGTCCATCATTTTCCTGCAAAGGGGACAGGCAGGTTACAATAATATGGTAAAGTGTGAAAACATTTTTTTTTCTTTTGCTTTTTTGCTTTCAGAGTTGCATGGGGGACGTTTGGTCTGAACAATCCTAACAGCCTTTCACTATTTTGTTTGATGCGGGGCTTGTTGGTCAGCCCTCTGGAGGCATAAAGATAAAAAGAACAGATACTGCCTGTTGGGTTTTGTGTGTTGCCTCCCAGCAACACCGACAGCAAGTGCAAACACGATAAAGAGGTGAGAAGTGCTGCTCGAAGGCTTATATGTGAACCATTTGATCCTGCTATCATCACAGTTGTGATTACTCACTGCCTCTGGTATGCAGGCTCAGACAGACACTTAAAACAGAGATGTGAAAGTTGGATTTTACATTAAAGAAATCCTGTAGGTGGTTCACTGCAGTGAATTCTAAAAGTATTAAAACCCCGTTCTTTCACATTTGGTCATGTTGCAAACACAAAATGTAACTGCATTTATTGGTTTTTCATATGACAGACCAACACAAAGTAGTGTGGATAAGTGCCATGACAATAAAATATGTTTGAAATAAAACACGGCATCCATTTGAAGGCAACTCCTCTTGATTATCAACACTTTGCAGAAACATCTGTCTCTTCAAGTTTTTGAAGTTTTCTCTCTTTACCCAGACTGAAACCGTTTCACATTCCTTCTTCACAAAAACAGTTCAAGTTCAGTCAGATTGGACGTAAACCAAATCATTTCCAAATCTTGCCACAAACTTTGTCTTGGATTTATGACTGCGCTTTGACTGAGCCATTCTCGTATAGAAATATGCTTTAATCCTAACCATCATAGCTCTGGCTTTGGTTATTTTCTGGTTGGAAGGTGAACAGTTGCACCACTCTCAAGTTTTTTGCAGCCTCTGATCAACTCTAACAAACTTCCCTTTCCAATGTAAAGAAAAAGGTTTTCTAAAGCATCATGGCATCATTGACATTTTTCTAAGAGGGGATGGTGTGTTCAGGAGGAGTTGCAGATTTTGTTTTCAGCCACACTGAGTGTGATGCAGAAGGTTCCCTTTTGGTCTTGTTTGAGCAGAGTACCTTCTTTACATGTTTGTTGGATTTGCCTCATGGCCTGTGGAAAACTCCTAGTGAAACTTTGAATGGTTGTCTTTCAACAATGACTTTCTTAATGCCACTACACAAAGGCCAGATTTGTGGAGCATAAAAACTTATCTGGGACCAATTCAGCCTGAACAGAGGATCTCTGCAGCTCCTCCATGTTGTTGGGGTTTTTCTTACTAATGTTTTCCAACGAACCTTTAATGTCTTCACAGAATAATGCACATACGCTGGGATTAAATTACACACCATTTGACCCTATTTATCATTTCCTTTTAAAGAAGACTGGTTGCACTAAATTTTATGTAGGTGTAGATTAAGACGGGTAAAATACAAATGCAGATTTTTTTTTAAACAACAAACAGGTATGCTACTCCTTCCATTTTTAGGCTTTGTATTGGTCTATCACAGAAAATCCCAACAGATTACATTGAAGTTTGTAGTTGCAACATCATCAAATTTGGATGGATGATACTAAAGCTCTGAATAGTTTCACAAGATATTGCACAAGTCATGACAATCATGTGTTTTAAAATAATAAACATGACAGCCGGCACAAGAAAATGAAGATAAAGATTGTTAGCAGAAAGACAGATGTTTCTTAATGTTTCATAATCTTACCTGAGCATAACTCCTCCCACTCTGATGGCTCTTTTCCAGTCCTTCAGAGTGGCTTTTCCTGCCAAGTGTACAAACTGCTTGGGAGTAATGAGCTGGTCACTGAACTGTAAAACGCAAGACGGGGCAATTTATGCCATGTAAACAGTCATATAAAAAGTAAAACAGGCTGTTAACCTGTGTAATGATTATCTTACTTTTTTTTCTTCTGGAATAATTTACAATTCAAGCAACCATACAAGAAATATAAAAAGGTATTAAGTTAATATCATCAATGTGTTACGATGTAGACGGAAATCTGTGGAGTTTGAAATGACAAAGGATGGGAGAAAACTGCCTCAAGCAACAGGAGTAGCAAATCTTAGCATGAAAATATAAATTACTTTTTTAGGAGGAAGCTCATTCATCCATTTCTTTTTGTAGAAAAAGAGAAGTCATAGATTTGACACGGAGTTATTTCATCTGAGCGTTCTGGCTTGGCAAAATGTACTAAGAAAAATGTGAAGTGAATTTTTTTTTTTTTTTTTTTTTTTTTGATTGAAAATCATTCCCCGTCAGGAGATCCATTATGGAAAAAGATTTATAGAAGTCTTTCAAAGTATGAATTCAACCCAGTGTGCCGGAGCACTCCGCTGTGTATAAAAGTGGTGACAAGCACAAACAAATAGCAAAGGCTGCAGAAAGAAAACAGGTTGACCAAAGCCAACAAAGGTCACAACACAAAGGGACAGGAAACTGAAAGTCACACATCTTGAAAATTGAAAAATGCACAACAAACAAATGGAGATAATGTCAGAAGAAAATAGAATTTATGTACAGAAAACCCAAATATAAAGCATTTCTAAAATGTTTTATAAAAAAAGAGACTATGGTTACTGTGGATTAAAGATGTAGAAGCAAACGTGAAAAACTGATGTCTGGAGAAAAGTGGCATTTAGTGATAAATCAAAATTCAATGACGGGACGATGTTGGTTATTTAGTTGTTTCCAGATCCAGAGAAGCAACTCAAACTGATCTGTGTTAAAGATCAGGAAGATTTCTAAAGCTACTGATAATGCATAGTTTTATATAAAAAACAGTGAAAGAGTCAATCAGTACCTCTGCTAGTAATACTTAGATGGAAATTTGTCACAAAGCCTCGTGTTTTGTCACCTATTTTGGACCGTCATAAAATGTCTATTAGGTGGGTCTATTTGTCAGAAAACAAGGTGCATGTTTTCTTTGCAAAAAAGTTTTTTAAAACACTGTGTGATCAGTTTATTGAAATATGGAACAGTTTAACAGATTCTCTAAAAGTGTGAATCCATTTTTTTGTTGTTTTGTTTGGTAGAAATTGAACTTGTGTCCCCAGGACAAAACCTTTTTTCTGATTAGTTTCTGATTTAAATGCCAAGATAGTAAGAGGAAGAATAAACCTAAAGGGACAGCAATACAGCAAAGATTTTTTTTTTGAGAGAGCACCCTGGGCTGGCTCTCCAGAAATAAATCAGCACTTCTTGGGCAGACTCAGCATATTGACCTACCTTAACACATTGTACATTGATTCCAGGACAGACAAACTTCTTAAACAGCAGCACTGCTGTGCTGTCTCCACAAGTGATAGGGTAGCCATACTCTCTCTCTGTTTCATCGGCTTTACTGTCACCTTTACAGGATGCAGCAAAAAAAAATAAATGAAAAAACATCACATGAAGAATAGTCTAACAATTACTGAGATTGTCACCCAGCAGCATGATTACTACACATATTGATTCTGCTGTATGGGACAAAATGTGTTTTTTTTTATATGTTCATTAAGTTTTAAAGAGATTATGTTTTTAGTTTGCTTGCTTTTACTTACTTTGATGTGTCTCTATCGCTAAAACTGTGTTGGCAGTACCAGCACTGTCGCCATTTAGCCTGCAGAGGGCGACATAAATTCACATTTGAAATTAAATAAACCTTATTTTACTTTCTCTGCACTGTTGTGTTAACTTAAAAATATACAGCATACATAAAACAAACAGACATTTTTCTACATCAATTTAGCTCATACACAGATATGATGGGAAAATAATGATTTTGTTGTTTTCTGTTTTTTGTATTTCCTCCAGGCTTTGTTTTTGTTAAATATGTGACTCTGAGATGAAGACAAAGATTTAAACTCATAGGCAATGAGCAGACTGGTACCCCTCAGCGCAATCTTCTTCCCCATTTAGCTGCAGGATGATTTGTCTCTGATGGTTGTTGTCCCTGCAATCCTGCTTCTCTGTTTTAACCACCATGACTTTGCCTGGAGGCTCAGAGACCCGTTCAGCAGCAGCCATCACGCCTCCCAGCAGGGCTGTACAGAGACAACAGATGAATCACATTAATGTTCACATCAAACACCAGTACTTTTCATTACATGTTTCGAATAAAAATCTTTTCCTGTTGAGTGTTATAGTGTTTCAGAATTAATTCATGCCAAGGTTGAAACAGAGTCTGCATGCTGGGACTTTCTCGATGAGGAATGCAGCTTAGTCAGAACATTTTCCAACTTTAATGTGAGAGGTCATACAGTTCAATTAAAAAAAAAAGAAAAACCACAATACCCTGGTTTGATTTATTGCTAGTATTCTGTGGTCTTGAGTTCACACCTGCTATTGTTTATAGGGAATTTGATCAACTTCCAGAGTTATCCTGACATTTTATTTACATTGTTTAGCTAAAATTATATGATTGTACAAAAGCATCAAGCAAGAGAAGAGACCAAAAGTTCCTCCAAAAAATATCATTACTCAAACAGTATGCTAAAAATGACAAATGGATTTATCTTTGTTGATGAACTCCAAGTTTTTGTGATTAGAAAACACTCTTTTTCTAATTTTTAGTTCCATACAAAGCATGTTAGTAAAATTAAATAACCTGGAATATTTTGGACTTAACCGTAATCTCCAAATGTGATCATACCTTCATTTTGATGTAAAAAACTGATGATTAATTATTTCTTTTGTTGCGGTTAATGCATCTGTATTCAGTACAATTCAACTGAAAAGACTTTATCTGCAAAGAATGGTTCTAAAAAGCAGCAAAAGTGTTCAAACAGCCACAACTTCAACAACTGCATGACATTTGCTCGTTTGTGTCTTTCACAAAACCCCATAGTTTTCAGAGAGGTTCTTAATGTCAATGTCCATTCATTAGATGGACACAAAACAATCAATTGGATGACACAAACAGCAATTTGGGAACAATTTGAAACAATTTGAAACACACATTGCTGGTGTGTCAGGAAGGCTGTGAGGCCTAAAAGTAACACTGCAGGAATTCTAATGTCTGGATTAAATGTAGAAAGTTAAAATTGAAATGTTTGGTCATTTATGTGAGACAAGGCATGATGGGAAACTAATGTCAATTTTTATACTCTTTTCAGAAGCTACTTTCAATTTGACAGTGAACGCAGATGCAGTTGAAGCCTTTGCAATGATAAAACTAAAACAGCCCATCTTTCAGGGGGATTTAACGAAAGGAAGAGAAAACGAATCCCAGTATCAGACAGACTATAATGAACTAAATCAATTCAGCTGCTAACTTCAAACTAGTCTACAGTGGATTAGCACACCCCGACAGTTGCGTGCCTCGCTTACCCTCTTCACAGTCTCACACTGACGTCTGTCGGTGCGGCATCACGCACCGCTGTCGTGCGTTCCCGTCCCACACTGGATCCACAGTGGGGGAAAAAACCAGGTCCTCTTCCACTCCTCACGCTCCACGGTGTAAACAGCGTAAAAACAATTAGTCCTCCGCTTGTTCAGAGGGACGCGGCCGTGTGAGCCAAGCTGTGTCGCTGCCCTCCCTGCAGCCAAGGCAGCGTTTGCCTGAGAAGCATCTGTCCCGCTGTCACGAGAGCCGCTCTGTTGGCACGCGATGTGAAACTCGGTCAAACTGCTCCCGCGAGCCTGGATTTGAGCCCCACTCTGCAAAAGTGAAAAAGTTCACGGCCAGGGCGATTTTATTCACCCGGTATTTGAGTTCCTCCACCACAAACACTGCATAAGAAGGACTTCACTAATATCTGAGTGTCATATTCTTAGTGCTCTGGGATTACAAGGCAGACGTATGCTTGACGTGCTCTGCAGTTGCCTACATTTCACCAGCAGGTGGCAGTTTCGCACTTAAATTGTTGACAACTATTGAGCAAAGGCACACAGTGGGATTAATAATTGTCGCTCTTTGTGGGTTTGCGAGTTAAATGGACTGTTTTCGACTTTTGAAAAGGTTCAGTGGGATAAAATTCATAGGCATGGTCAGTGAGGACAACATAGCTCACATAGTGCTAGATGATTCTCACATTCCTTTTTTTTAGTATTTTCCCTGGGACTTTAGTTTGCTGCTGCAGTACAACTTCTAAAAGTCTATGCCATTTACCGCTTTTGGAGGATAATATGTCTTGAACACGCTCTCTTGGACTTCAAGTTCAACTCATTCATTCATGTGAAAATATAGCCCCAGTGGATAGTGGTAGACTGTAATCATTTTGTGGGCAAAATGATTTCTTTCCTGTCTTTGTTTATAGGGAATTAGTTTGTCAGTGCTAGTTTGTCAGCTAACACTAACAAACTATCTTTGAGATAGTTTGTTGGCGTGCTGCTTTTCGTAAATATAGCCTTTCGACAGGTAGTGTGATAAAAACCTCTACAGCCACAGTGCTACATAGAGACACATTTGGAGTCCCACACTTTGGGAATGGAATGCCCGGGATCATTTGATTGGCAGTCATCCCAACCAATAGGAAGCCGAGTTCACGACTCGTGGCCAATAGTAAATTCGCAGGACTTTCTGCTGCGAGATTTTATTGAAGCGAGAACTCGACCCATCGAAGTATGCACCTTACTTTTCTCCTCGGACAGGGCTGGAAATCATGCTTGGAAAGAGCAAAAACACAGAGGACGGACTGAAGTTTGTTTTTGCTGGTTTTTGGGTGACTTTCTGCGCCTGTCTGGGTCATGTTCGCTGTCAGGAGGGTAAGAAAAAGCCCTTTTCTGTTGACGCTTTTGGTAAAACAAACAAAAATGATAGCGACGCAACACAGAACTTCTAACATCACGTTATCTTTTTGCTGAGTAACAGCTAACACTAAACATTGGCAAACATCTATTATTACAAGATGACACTTTGTTAATAGAGTCGGAAAAGCGACATGAGGCTTTGGGACGTGGCTTACATTTTTATTATCTAACTTTCTAACTCATTTCTGAGACAAATATTTCATACTTGTTTCCCAGCTAACATTTTTTTCTGAAAGTTGGGACACAAAATATTTTTTTTATTAATGTACTTATGAACAGGACTGCAGAATGCTGTATCTTATAAAGCACATGGGTCCAAAGGTCGCCCATGTGGTATGATGGACACATTCTTTGAATACTCTTCCTTGTCTATGTGTTTACCTGCTGCTCCCAGCTATCCTCACACAGGCTTTTCTAAACTGCATTCAAGCCCCGAGCATGAATCACACTGACCATATTTACACACAGAGGCAAAGAGAGACAAACTATTACTCCAGAGTAGACTATGACTACACACCACAAATCATCTTCTTTGTTGTTTTCGTCTGACTCTTTGGCTTTGGTTTCCTCACATATCGGAGGCTGATTAAGTCCAGGGTGAATTGCAGATTCTGAATCATGTTGCTGAAATGGTAATCCTCATTAGCTGTAGTTGGGACAGGTTTTGGGAGCTCCACTGCAGCCTGTTTCCTGTTTTCACTCTGCACTGATTGACAGATTGTAGGGGGATAATCCTATGCAGTGACAGGTAGGACAGGTGAACATCCTGTTTGCCAGTGTGGACCTGTAAGAACCTGCCAGAAAAAAAGTGGAAAAACAGCATTTGCTTATTTAACACTTTAAATTTCTGTTTAGTTGATCTCCTGAACTGGGCAGAACAAGCTGTTATTTCTTTCTACAAACAAAAGTGTGCCTTGAATTTCCAGTTTGCCGTCTAACTAGCTTCTCTTTCCCACTGCATGATGCTGCCATCATCATGTTGGCCCACTGGGAAATTGTAAAATTTCTGTAAAATGTCTCTTTGCGACACAAACGGTGTCGTGCATGCTGGCCAGAAGGTTTCGTTTTGGTCTCATGTGACCGGGGCATCTTGTTTTCACATACTTTTGGATTCCTTTGAACAAGAACTTTCGTCCTCACGCTTTTACAAAAAATTGTATATTTGCAGAGTTCACATGTAAACAGATTGTCTACCAGAGCTGTGTTTCTCTGCAGCTCCTCCAGTGTTACCATGGCTATAGTACTTCTCTTATTAACACACTCTTTGTTTGCGGTTGTCATTTTACCCTTTATATTTTACAGAGGATTCTGATAAGCATCGTGTCTCATTTTCCTGGCACTTTTCTGTGACGCTTTTTGCTGGTCTACCACATAGAATCACCAATGAAGTGCTTTTGAAGTTTGCGGTTTTAAAACATTTATTAGGCGCATAAATACTTTTGCGAGGCATCGGCTCCTTGATGCAATTAGAACCAGGCGGGTTTGTCAGAGTGACTGCAGGTGAAGGAGTTCAGCCAGCAGGAGACAATTAGCAGTCACCCAGAACGCAGCCGGCACTGCCGCTGTTGTGGCCTCCCACCGGAAAGTGACAGATCCATGCTCTGGTGCCCACAGCAACAGCATGTCACTCTGGCATTTCCACAGAATCCTTTGGGGAACTGAGGAGGGGAAGCAGCATTCAAAGGTTTGTGGTGGGATTTGAAGAGCTGTTGGGAAGTTGGGGGGATGTGGGGGTAGCTGGTGTGATGCAGGATGTGTGACACAGGGACAGAGGAAGGTTATCTGGGGGTTTGGGAGCCATATATGGATGGGTGGAGGGGGGTGGGAGTGATGTTTAGGCTCAGTCTGACCTCGATATCTTACTCGGGTTTTGACCATTCTCGGAACATGTCACCTCTGGAATTTTTGTGGGGGCTTGAATTTGTACAAACAGTTTCCAGGGCGCTAATCTCTGACTCAATGGATTCTTTTCTCTTTTTTTTTTCTTCTTTTTTTCCCCCTATGAGCAACACAGATATTAGACGAGGTATCTAAATATTTGTGTTTTCTGTTCCAGTAGAAGCGTTTTAGTCAGCGCACTCAGGTCAGAGGATGTAACAAATTAAAGGCTGAAATGTTTTGGGGGGGTTTTTCCCATATGAATAGATTTTCCTCCAAAATATCCAGTTCTTTGTCTTTTCACCTTTGTTAGTATAAGTACTTTGGCAAATTGTTCAGCTTATGCTATAGTCTGAGGAATTTCCTTCACAACTATTCGTGTCATCACTCGGTTATGAATATAAACATGTCCAGGTCTGCAGGGCCTGTTATGATTGGACTTGTTATGCATTTGTCCTGAAATAATGCTTCACCAAAGCCTTCATTATTCGCTTTATTTAATTAAGGAAAGTTATGACGAACCTGTCTGTGGTTTAGACAATTTGCCTTTGCTTATAGTGTAGCCAATAATTCACTTCTCATAGCTGGTTTGAAAGTAAATACATGAATAGTACAGACGATAGGCCTTCAAAAGCTACATTTGATCCTTTTGGGCAAGTGTAGCGGAAAGCTAACAATTTCTTGATGCAAGGCAATGGTGCTACCAACAACATGACTGAAACAATCCCCAAAGACATAAAGAATTAAAGATCAAGATTAACTTTAATAAGTCTCTAACACTCAAATATATAATTAACAACAACAAAAAAAGACTTATTCCCAGTAGCTTCACTTCATTGGTTTAATCATAAAACCCTAGTGGTGTAGGATTGAAAAACGATGACAAAAACTACCTCAGACAAAATCTTCTGTTCATAAAGCAACAGAACTGGTTGGAATGGTGTTGTGTTTCCAATTAAACACAGCACCAGTGAAACCTGGTGGTGGAAGCATCATGCTGTGGGGTTCCTACTCTCCTGCTGGTCAAGACTAGATGGACGGAGCCGACTAAATGCAGAGGCCAAATGATTTGAGGGATGGATGTCTCCCAAACAGCTAGACAACACTTCACACACAACCAGAGATACAATTACACATTTATATCAAAGTATGTTTATGTGTTAGAATAAACCAATAAAGTCCAGGCATAAATCTAATTCAGAAACTATGGCAAGTTTTGTGATATTTTCCTCCCCACTTTACCGTTAAGTTCTACTTAAGGTTGATTTACCACAACAAAAATATCGGACTAAAATGAAGTTTGGGTTTTAATACGACAAAAGGTGGAAAAATTAAAGAGCAATCAGCACCGTTGCATTACTCTTATTTCTTGACTCAAAAGTCAATACATTGTAGAGCTGAAGTCACAGATGAGTAATTTCTAAATGAACTTTTAGTTTCTAGATATTCGGAATTAATTTCTTTTTTTACATTTCATTTATTTGTCGGTTATTTTCACTACTGTCTTAATTTTGCTCTTGCTTCCTGTTAGGTAACGGTTGTGGACACGCGCTGCTGGGAACTGAGTCGGGTACCATAGCCTCTCCCAACTACCCGGGCACCTATCCCAGCAACGCCTGGTGTAAATGGAGGCTGCGTGTGCAGGAGGACCAGACGCTACGCCTGCTGTTTGGAGACTTTGACATCGAGAGCAGCCCAGGCTGCAGAAACGGATCCATCGTGATCACCGGCAAGAGCGGAGAACGGAGACTGGGTGAGTTCACCTACGATTTTGTTGTGATCTCAGACGCAGTCAGCGTTTTGCCAGCATACCTGCTGACAGACTTAAATGCTCTGTACCATTATTAGAGAACTTACCGGCATGACTCTATAGTCATAGCATGCCATTTAGCTGAAACATCGATGGGAGACAAACCCTATTTTGCAACACGCACATGTTCATTTTGCAACCAGCTGTGTCAGATTGTGTCCAGAGGCTACAGATATTTGACTGCGCACCAAAAATCAAAGCTGGGAGATTATGGCGATATAAGTATTGTGGTGAAGGTTGATGGATTTATTTAAGCTCAAAAGTGTTCATTGTT